TTAGAGCAGGATCCTTTCTTCTTTTTGAAAGGAAAAAGTTTGCTTTCATCAAAGTTCTTTGTGGTTTCCATAAGAGAGATTGGGGAATGGATTATGCGACTTCCTCGGTCAAAACTGGACACAGCATTTCACCCTATTTAGCATGAAGTGACAGGTTCCAGTGACATACACATTGGATGCAATGATTTCCCTAGAACTGGAGGTTTTACTGCTCAACAGTTTAGTGGATTCAAGAAGGGCAAATGAAGATTGACTGTAGCAGAAGTGCCACAACTGTGCTCTATGAGGTGGTGATGAGACTGAATCATCCCGCTGCAGAGAGCAGCTATGGGCTGACATGGGCTTTGGGTGACATGAACCAACAACCTATGATCAAAGAGCATCATGTGTAGCCAGCACAGATGCATAAAGCACAGGTCTTTATCAGACAATTAGTAAACCTTGAGCAATTTTTATCATCAAAACCAAAGAGAAACTGGAAATCCATTAAGTACCCAAGGCATGAAAGATATTTTACAATCTAAGCATGTAACACAGATTAGGCTTACTGAAATATCTGGAACTATACCTATTTTCAATAACTATTTCATGTTGACACCTGAATTCTTTATTATCTTTGCAAATAAGACAATTTCTCTTCACCATTTCAGGTTTATGCTATCCCTTACTTTCAGAATACAATAACGTATAAGACTAAGGAACATTTTATGTACTCTGGATCAAACAACATCCTTCTAACACACAGAATGTGCTTACACTGGAACATTCTGATCTCTTCTGAAGATTTCCATATGCATCTTGAGTGAGCAAATCTCCATGTTTACCAAGTCCCACACAGAGGAAACCATTGCTAACCCCCTGTCATTACCCAACCCTCCCAAAGGTTTCTGCAGTGGTTTCTGCAATACTTTGACCCCCATGCAGGCAGCCAGCACGCCTAGTCCCTTGCCCTTGCAGGCTGTCACATCATAAACCAATCAAACACCATTGTAAAACTAAACAGGGTTTTTGGCCTAGGTTTCCAGAATTTGGGAGTAGGCCTCTCTTCCATTCAAACTAATTTGGGTAACAATGAAAAAATTCCCTCATAAACAGAGTTTCTGACTACATCTTTTTCCGTCAGTGGTTCTTATTTTCCGCTCCAACCCACATCATCTATTCTCTTCCTTCCACCCATTCTTCCCCCCCCCCCCAAAAAAAAAGGCTGGCTCAGACACTGTGCTTCAATTTGCTGTAGAACTTTCTATTTTGCTTTTCCATTCTTTTTGTTTAGTATATGAAAGCAGCTTCCTGTTTAGAAACATGGGAGCCCTACACCCTCAGTAATGATGTATTCAGCCCATCAATAATTTTGGCATGAATGTCTTAAACCTTAATAAGCCCGACAGGATTTTCTGTACATGTCATCATCAGTCCCCAAAACAATGAACTGTGTTTGTCATCTTGCACTGAGTCAGCTCCCTTCCGTGTGCTACACTTCTAATAAGAATTCTAAGGGCTTGCAAGCTTCCTTCTCTTCAATATTTCTAATTATTGATTTCCGATGCCTACAGACCAAGAACAGAAGCACCAAGAGGAGACAGTGTTGTTGCAGAATGCCCAACATGATCAATACTCTTCTGAGCCCCTGCAGCAGTCTGCCATCGCTCCCACTGCTCAGGTATTCCAACCTATTACCCAAATCCTGGCCTTGTCCTGTGCTGGGGAAGAGGAATGAAACACAGTGTAACTTCAGCTCAACTTCAAAAAACCATTCCCCCAAGCTCTACCCTGTGCTGGGCACTGGTGAGGCTGCACCTTGAATCCTGTGTTCGGTTCTGGGCCCCTCACTACAAGAGAGACATTGAGGTGCTGGAGCAGGGCCTGGAGCACAAGTGTGATGAGGAAGGGCTGAGGGACCCGGGGGGATTTAGTCTGGAGGAGGCTCAGGGGGGACCTTATCGCTCCCTACAAGTGCCTGACAGGAGGATGGAGCCAGGAGGGGGCTGGTCTCTGCTCCCAGGGAACAAGGGATGGGACAAGAGGAAACAGCCTCAAGCTGCAGCAGGGAAGGTTTAGACTGGATGTTAGGAATAACTTCTTCCCCAAAAGGGTGCTCAGGCATTGGAACAGGCTGCCCAATGGAGTCACTGTCTATGGAAGGGTTCAGAAACCATGTAGATTAGGCCCTTGGTGCCATGGGTTAGTGGTGGCCTTGGCAGTGCTGGGGGAATGGTTGGACTTGATGATCTTGAAGGTCTTTTCCAACCCAGTTGATTCTATAGCTCTGTTGTATTCAAATACAGAGACTGGATCAAAATCTGCTTCTGTGGTTCTGAGTCTTAACTGCAGGGAACTTTTTCAGCGACGTTACTGGACAGCCATAGAACCAGCACTTGAATGGGTGGGTGCAGCAGCAGCCTTGCACACCACACACAATGTGCTGCTCTTCCCCAAGCTGTGCTGAGCAGCAGCGTGGTTAACCACAGTTTATTCTATACACTCCGATTCCTCAGCTGATGCTACCAGGCAAGCTCTAGCCTGGAGCTGAGGCATCTCAAAACCTGCCAATGCAAGGCACACACACTGTTTTATTTTAACTCTTCTGGGGGCTTGGTCTGTGCCTACATAAACATCAAAACATATTTGGATCTTTACTTCTGGGTGAACAGCAGAGTTAATTTAGAACTGTCAGCAAGTGCCATCCTAATTAAAATCAAATGACTAATTGTGCAACTACAGGGCCTGTTGACACAGGCTACATCAATCAGGCAGGCAAAGCCACCCGAGCTTGGATGGGAGGAAATGCAGCACCATCTAGTGTCCTATGCGAGTTAGGGATTCAAAGAGCTGTTACGCATTTGGTCCACACAGTAATCGCCCAGGTAGCTGACACTCAAAAGCAGTAGGACACCAGTGGTCCGACTAGACCAGCACTTCTGAAATAGGGAATTACAGGATAAAAATCTTGTTAAAGAGCTGCTGCGAGTAGACACATTTCTTTAAAGACAAGAAACTGAGAAATAACTCTGCCACCTATCAAAAAGATGCAGTCCGAAAGCTAAACACTGCCAGAAGGCTACTACTGTCTATAAAAAGCTACTAGAACTAAAAGGGCAAGCTTCAAGAAGCTGAGCAATACTAAAAACTTTGGCAGGCTAAAAGCATAAGACATTATAAAAACGCACTTGAGGAAAATTAACGATAAGTTCTTTTTCAAACTCATCAAGAACAGCAGTCTTGACCAAGGGGTAGTGCAGCCAACAGATGATGAGAGAATAGAACGAACAGTAAGAAAGAGACAAGACTGCAAAAAAGCTTTTTAAATGGTTGTTTCTGTTTTAATCCACATTCAGTGCAGAGGAGCTCATGGTGGCTCCCACTCTGGAGAGCTCGTTTCAAACTGTACAAAGATGCTACTGGACATTTCAGCAATATAATAGATCTTTATAATCAGACAGTAAATATTTTAAAATCAGATAGTAAAAGATAATAAAGAAATCAATGAGACAAGAAGTGAGCAACCACCACGCATAACATCTCACAAGGCTTCAAAAGCAGGTGACAAATGAGACAATTGAAGAGTTGTACAGGGATGCAGGTGAGCTGTGTCAGGTGAACTGACCTATTCCAACTGTGCTGATACACTGTAATATAGAAATACCAGACCTAGACCAATGTGTTATGCTGGCAAACACAGCTCAAGTAAAGGTAATGTTGACCTCGCATCTCTCTCATCATTCTCAGAGAGCCCAACGAGTGTTATTAACAAGCAGAAGTTCCTGAGGTACCAATACTTTGTGTATCATGTCAGTCCTCCACTACAAAAAATCATTTTGCACAAAAAGGAATGGAGCAGCTTTCACAAAAAATTAAAAGCATGAAGTAAGTTCCTCTTCTGAGTGTATATATTTTACTGCCACAAAGTTAATATTCCTTTCAGAAGGATCTGGCTTGGAGCTTCCCACAGCAGACCTTGCATTCCTCACCTCTGCCACAAGCTGTGGACTGAGCTATGAAGGTTTTAACTCTAGGAGAAAGCGCCAGAGCAAACTGCTTCTGCTAACCCTGCAGAGCATGCCTAATAAACTTTAAGTTCTTAAGTCACAAGTTAAGCTCTGTAGGAAATGACATAGCATAGACCTACATAAACCTTTCACATAAGTTATTAAAACATTTCATAGCACAAGTGCCTTTCCCCACACCCTCCCCATACAAGAAGAATAAATTACAAACAGGGTGGACCTAAGAAAGCACATCTTCACTACAAGTAACTAATAAGCATCTTAAGCAATGAGCAGAGTTTAGTGTATTCAAGAACTGAAAGAGGGTACTGACAGTGGGAAATGAATGTACACAGCAGGCAACTCAACAGCATGTGAGGCAGCAACCTCAGTCTCAACTTATGGCCTTGCAAACCATAGCTCTATTAAAGCCACAATCAAAACATCTGAAAACACTGTAAAGAAGCTCATCTTCTTTACATATATTAAGTGGAAGATGCATATGTACAAAAAATGTACACACTATTTCTCTGCTACAACAATAAGCATCAAGAACTTGAACACCAAAGAGCCAGATTCATGTACTATTGCCCCCCAAACATCAATCTGCCAGACTCAGGTATTAATGAGGACAGAAATTAACACAACACACAAAGTTACTATTTTCTCAGGAAGTGAGGCTACATACTACAATTTAAGATAGCACTAGCTCTACAGAAAAACCCAAGAATGTCTTTGACATAAAAACGTGACAAGTCAAATGTGAAAGATAAATCAGATTTATTCAAAACAAAAAAAATCAGACAGTGTTACTAAAGATTAAAAAAAAAAAGAAAGATTATTTTACTGAAGAGACAAAACAGCCAATTTACATCAATTCTGAGAAAAACAGGTTGGGTTTACGCTGCTTCAATTGACTACATCTACTTTCCACAAGACAAACTGGGTCCCCTCCCCTCCCCAAAAGAACAGCCCAAACCAGCCTATAAAAAACACAAACAGAATTTTGAGACACATGATCAAAACACGAACCATTGTCCAAAAGCCTGAAACTTTCCAACAAGGTTAACTCCTCTGTTGCTTCAACCAACCCTCAATGGGGGAGCTACAAGCACAACGCCGTCACCTCTGACAAAGAGCATCGGAATATTCCTTTTGGTAGACTATGAAGGAAAGAAAAATTTACATTTACAAAAGTGTAGTTTACACAACGTATCTGATAAGCATCTGACCAAACACAATCCTAACAGAACACAAGAAACAACTCTAAGAAGTACAAGCTCAAACATACAACGTCCTGGCATGCTGAATAGATCAATACAACACCAAGCCTTCGATTATCCTTTGTACTTTCATAACAATTTGCCCCAAACTTCTGTGGGTTCATAAGTAGACAGCAATAAACTACTTTAACAATATAGAAGTGTATTTACCCCCATAGAAAGCTTCTTTAAAACTAAACCAAGTCCTTACCTTATAAATCTCTTCATAGGTTTCTTCATCAATCTCTATTGTAGTTACAGTTTCTTCCACATCACCCAAGATCATATTTAAGTGCTGATCATATGCCTGTAGGAATGAAGGTAGTTTATTGTGGGAGACAATGGAAACTATTTGATTATTGCCAAAAAGAAGTAACTGCTTGGGTGGAGAAGAAAGAGTTAAAGAAGAAACAAAGTACAATCAAGTAGAGCAACCCAGCTGGCTGAGGTGGAGAGAGTATAAGATACCAAGACACCTGGCTGAGGAGGAGAGAGCATAAAGATAAGAGACTGGCTATTCTGGGGCTGACTGTGAGAAAGCGAGCAGTGTTAACAAACAAACTGTAAGTCAGGAACTAAACATGATAGGCTACAAATAGAATGGTATAAAAGCTAGAGCAATAGGTTAAAAATAACTGTTGTTAGAATGGTATACAAAGTTAGAGCAGTAGGCAATAAGGTGATTCACTGCATGAAGATGCTCTGGGTCCATGACCTTAATCTCCACAGTTTATTATTTCGTTCAAAATTCAAACAGAAGCTTACTAAAATGAGGATTTTTAGCAACTTTCAGACATAACTAGTTCAGCCTGATTTTGACCAAAATATGCCACTATGTCAAAACAAAGTAGTATCAGTTAAAGTTGTAATTCCAAACAAATAACAACAAATATGGTACTCTGGAGCACACAAAAAAGGGCAGACATTTATATTTACTGAAACAAGGAAAAAGCTTGAAAGCACTCAGTGTGAACACATACAAGAACAGAGACAGACACATTTTATTACCATTAAACCAGCTACACATTCTCTGCTGCCAGTCCAGCCTCCTGGAATTGATTGCCTGGGGGCAATTTAAATACCACAAAAGCTATAATTCACACAATGCTCCACAGATTTGAAACAATCACATGTTCAAATAACCTTACAAAAGCACGTTGCAAACTACACATGCGCCTCACAGGTGTCTCCTCATCTTTGTGTTCCCATAGGAGCTGAGGCCCAAGACACAAGAAAAACAAAATACATCTCTCAACTCCCTAAAGCAGCATTTAATAGCAGGCAGGGCACTGAACAGATTTTCCCACCAATCACACTTTATCTCTGATAAAAGAAAGGATTCAACCCTTATTACTAAGAGGATCTTTAACTTACCTTATATAACCATGTCCACGCTTCTAACCATGAGATACAATTACTTACTTTTTTAAACTGATTCTTTAAGCAATCATCAGAATATTACAGGCAAGCTTGTGTAATAGCGTACGAAAAAAGGCTGCCCAGTGTTTCACTGAATAAACATGGTAGTGCTCCAAAGGTTTTACTTACATGTAGTCTGCCTCTAAGCTCTCTGTCATTCCTCATTTTGACATAGATTCGCTCATCGAGACTGAGCCTGATGAGATCAAGCGGCTCCTCTACAGTATTTGTTGTTTGTTGCTAAAAAACCAACAAACCAAACAAATTTAGTAAGTTACTTGCACAGAAGCAGCCTGTAGTTGCAAGACACAGAAAACAAACAGGTAAGAACATGTATATATTCCAAAATCATTCCTTCACATCCCACTGGAGGTGAGCGCAGCTGATAGTACCACGCTATGGATGTTCACCAGCCTGAGCAAAGGACTTCAGTTTAGTTTTGAGATCATGGCTAAGATGTATGGACATCTTTGTGCACACCCTGTGTCACACTGCTCATTTCCTTCTCAGGGAGGCAGAGCCACAGGTAGTTTAGAATCATACAACCCCAGGCTGGTTTGTGTTGAAGGGACCTTAAAGCTCCTCCAGCTCCAACCCCTGCCCCGGGCAGGGACACCTTCCACTAGAGCAG